CCAGTTAGATTTTAATCTGTGTTTCCATGGTCCCTTATTGAATATAATTTTTATTACACTATGATCTGAAAAGGACACATATTTAATATTTCTGCATTTAGCTATAAAGTTTTTGTACCCTAATATATGGTCAACTTTTGTGAAGGTACCAAACACTGCTGAGAAAATGGTGTATTCCTTTCTGATCCACTTCAATTCTCTCTAGATAGCTATCATATCTAGCTTATCTAAGATTCTATTCACCTCCTCAATTTCTTTCTTATTTTTTGGTTAGATTTACATAATTCTGAGAGGGGTAGGCTCAAGTCCTCTGCTATTATAGTATTCTTAACCCATTTCTACCTGTAATTCATTTAACTTTCCCTTTAAAAATTTAGATGCTATAGCATTTGGTGCATATAGTTCTAGTATTGATATTGCTTCCTTTTCTATGGTACCTTTTATCACAATGCAGTTTCCCTGGGGTAGAAGAAGTCACTTACGATAGTGTTTCTCCATGGACCACTTGTTCATTATTTGGTCTGTCACAATTTTTAAGTTTTTGCTGGCATAAAGGTATGGGAACTAAATACAGAGACAAACAGCCACATTGGATGGAAGTTGTCTAGTCATTATCTAAAGAGGGATGACCCTCTATAAGACTGACTTTAAAATGGCAAACATGCAATGCATCTTTTCCAGACAAAAATGAATAAATTTACTTTAAAAGACAGATTTCTTAGATATCCAACATTACAACATCAAGTTTTCTGTTAAAGAACATAATTTTTTTTCTTCATTTCATAATTTAATGACCAACCTGGATACAGGTATATGAAAAGTTAGAAAGCAATTATTTTATTTTCAACACCACATCTCCCTCAGTGTTTATTTTCCTTTTACAAATGACCAAAAGAAAGTTATTTCTGAACACAAAGAGGCCTTTCACTAACTCAAGAATCAAAGATTCCTATAAGGCAACACATTTCGCTTTTCTAGAAAAACCAAAATATCTCTGCCAGAAGAACCAACTCCCAAAAGCAAATAAAGTATTTTTAAAAAATCTGAACAAGATACACTTCATTTTTCAGACCACAAAATGCTAGTCATTTTTCTTCACATAATACTCTTAAAACTCAACACTCTTCAAAATCTCAAAAAAAAAAACTGTAAAGGTTAAAAACTCATTTTATAATCAAGTTATCGTGATGAATTCTCATTTATAGTTAAATAACAATTACTCTTGATAGTCTCAGATATATTTTTGTGCTTTAATTTATTAAAATAAATCCCTTAAATACAAGTATACACTACAATCTATTCCTTCTGAATAAAAAATAACATGTACAATAAACCTACTAACAAAAATTAAAAAGTTTAGAATTTAAGGGCAACAATTTGGGACATTTTTTAAACCCCCAATTTTTTCCAAGTATGTATGTTTTCCATTTTTTCTACTACCTAAATGTTTTTTCAACTACCACCTGAGTATACATGAGCAAATGTGTCAAATATTACATTTTCGCACTGAGAAAGCCATCTATGTAGGTGACGCCACCTCTTTCCCACTCATTCTCCTTTTACCTCTCTACAATCTAGATTCCAAACTCACTATTCAACTGAAACTGATACCTCTAAAATTACTAGGAATCTCTTAACTGGTAAATCTAATCACCTCTTCTCAATTGTCATCCTTCCCTGACCATTCTGCAGCACTTTCAATAATGTTCTTCTCCTTGATACTCTTTTCTCTAGGATTCATGATGCCATACTCTCTTCCTGGCTCTCCTCCTACCTAACTGCTCCTGCTCAGTCTCCTTGGCTCATCTTCATTCAAGTCATGGCCACCAACTACAGGTGTCCCATAGGGCTCTGTCCTAAGACCTTTTCTCTTCTCATTCTCTAATATTTCATATAGTGATCTCATCACTTCTTACAGATGTAATTATCATCTCTAGGCTGAAGATTCTCAGATCTACTTATATGCTCCTAACCTCGTGGCTGACCTCCAATCTTGCATCTCTGCTTTTTGGACACCTCAAACTGGAAGTGCTGTACAAATCCTTAAACTCAACATTTTCAAAAGTGAACTCATGCAAAAAGTGATGAGTATCTCTAATTGATACTGATAAAAAAATTTAAATAAAATATTAGCAAAGAAACTATAGCAACATATCTCAAAATTATGCACTATAACCAAGTTGAATTCATACTGGAAACATAGGGCTGGTTTGATAATATTAGGAAAACTATAAGCATAATTGACCATATCCAGAATAAAAACAAGAAAAATCATATGATTGTATCAATAGATTTAGGGAAGGCTTTTGACAATATAAAAATCCATTCTGGTTAAAAAATACTACAAAGCATGTGAATAAAGTGATCTTTCCTTAATATGATCATAGGAATCTATCTAAAACCAAAAGCTAGAATTATCTATAATGGGACAAACTAGAGGCCTTTCAAATAAGATTAGAGATAAAGCAAAGGCTACCACCATTATTACCATTATTAAAGGTTACCACCATTATTATTTAATAAAGTACTAGTAATGCTAGCTAGAGTAATAAGACAAGAAAAAGAAATTCAGATAATAAACCTAGGCAAAGAGGGGGGAAAAATCATCACTTTTGCAGATGATATGATAGCTTACTTAGAGAATCCTACACTGTCAACTAAAAAGCTAATCAAAACAACAACTTTGGCAAAGTTGCAAGGAATAAAATAAACCCACACAAATCATCAGCATTTCTATATATTACCAACAAAATCCAACAGAAAGATGAAATAATTTACAATTTAAATTTAAATTTAAAATAATTACAGGCAACATTAAATACTTGTACCTCTCAAGACACATGCACGCAAGAACTATATAAACACTATCATAAAACATTCTTTATATATACAAAGAGAGATCTAAATTATTAGACAAATATTGTGTTGATAGGTAATCCAAGCCAATTAAAAAAAATACTATCCAAATTAATTTACTTATTCAGTGAAATACCAATAAAACTACCAAAGGACTACTTCGTAAAGCTAAAAAAAATGATAAAGGTCATCTAGAGGAACAAAATGTCAATTATCAAGGGAATTAAGCCCCCCCCAAAAAAAAGGAGGGAAAAGGGACACTGCAATACCAGATTTCAAACTATACCACAAAGTCATAATTATCAAAACAATCTGGTGCTGGGTAAGAAGTAGATCTTGATCAATGGAACAGATTAAAAACACAAGAAAAAAGCAAATAAATAAAAAAAATCAAAAAGCACAGTAACCTAGTGTTTAATAAACCCAAAGATCCCAGCCACTGCAGCAAGAATTCACTTTCTGACAAAAACTGTTGAGAAAAATGGAAAGCAGACTGGTCAAAACAAGGTATAAATCAAATTGCTTTCCAGCATGACTGGACCAGTTCATAACTCCACCAACAGTGGAGCTTCCACCAAGAGAAGCTCCAAATGGTTTCATGATTTAGACATAAAAGCTGACATGGAAAACAAACTAGAAGAGTACAAAAGAAATTACCTGCAAGATCTATACATAAGGGAAGAGTTTATGACCAAACAAGAGAGATGTTCACAGAAGGTAAAATGGACAATTCCGAGGACATAAAATTAAAAAGGTTTTGTATAAACAAAATTAATGCAGCTAAAATTAGAAGAGAAGCAGGAAACTGGGGGTGAGGTGGGAATTCCTTACCTCAGGCTTCTCTGATAAAGGTCTCATTTCTAAGATACACAGGAAACATTCAAATTTGTAAAAATAGAAGATATCTCCCAACAGATAAATGGTCAAAGAAGATCAACAGGCAGTTTTCAGAGGAAGAAATCCAAGCTATCAACAGCCATACCAAAAAAAAAATTGCTCAAAATCACTATTAATTGAAGCAATATAAATTAAAACAACTCAGAAGTAGCACCACCACACCTGTCATCAGATTGACAAAAAAGGAAAATGCAAATGCTGAAAGGGTTATGGGAAAACAGATACATTTAACACACTGTTGGTGGAGCTATGAACTGGTCCACTCATGCTGGAAAGCAATTTAGACCTATGCTCCAAAATCTACTAAACTTGACATTATCACTGATACATTTATACCCCAAAGAGATAAAGAAAAGGACCAAGATGTACAAAAATATTTATAGCATCTTCTTTTATGGTGGCAAAGAATTGGAAGCTGAGTAGGTGCCCATAAACTGTGGAAAGAATGAACATGTTATGGTATCTGAGTGTGATGAAATACTATTGTGTGGTTAAAAAAAAAAATAAAGGAAATTGCTCAATGGATGGAGCCCCGGCCTTGGAGTCATGAGGACCTGAGTTCAAATCCAGCCTCAGACACTTGACACTTACTAGCTGTGTGACCTTGGGCAAGTCACTTAACCCCAAATGCTTCACCAAAAATAAAAAAAATAAAAATAAAGGAGATAGATGCTTTCAGAGAAACCTAGGAAGACTTGTATAAATTGATGTAAAGTGAAGTGAGTAGACCCAGGAGAACAATTTATATAATGACAACTATTGAAAAGGCAAACAACTTTGCAAGACTTTGGAATTCTGACCAATACAACATCCAACCACAGTTCCAGAGGACTCATGATGAAACATGCTACCCACATCTAGACAGAGAGGTAACGGACTCAGGGTAGAGACCGAGGGATACTTTTTTTTTTTTAACATAACTAATGCAGTCAATGGCAAGGTAGGAAAAGGAGGAGGTAGGAGGGAAAGAAGTTGGATTTTTGTTGTTTTTCAATAGGGGCTAGGGTGGGTAGGTACACAGGTAAGACAGGAAGGAAAAAATCAAGCCGAAAATAAAATTAAAAATTTAAAAGGAAAAATAATATGAAATACACATTTGTAAATATATATATATTTTCATTCCTAGGCATTTTCCTGCTGAATAAATTCAAAATGGAATTATGGCAATAATTTAGACCCCCAAAATAAGGCAACAAATCATGTCCCGTATACAGTTAGTTAACCAGCTGATATTCCCAAGTTCTTACCTGCTGCTTGTTGCCCTTTCTGGTTAACATGACAAATGGCATTGTGTCGCCAGCTTCAGTCTCTCCTTCCCCACCGCCCAGCGGTGGGCCCTTCCTCAGCTGGCTTTTGAGGTGCAGTGGAATAGCAACATCCAGTTGGTGTACTTTAACAGACTCGCCACTTCGTTGCTTACAGAAAGAAAGTGAAAAGCAGGGGAAATACCTTAAGACACTTAAATTTATAAAGTAAGTTCAGGCAGTTTTACTTTGTAAAACACAAAATAATTCAATAAGTATTTAGGCATGAAGGGAACAGAGATGAATGAATCCTCTGAAGCACAAGATTAATTGCCAAATTGGTGAAAGACAGAATGGCAAAATGAGTAGGAGTAGACTTAGGGCAGGAAGACCCAGGTTTAATACTCACCTGACACTGAGTAACCATAAGCATGCTACCTAAAGAGCTGTTGAAACCTCAGGTTACTCACTAAGACTATTTAGCCAATTGTTGATAAGTTGTGAAACGCCCTGCTAGGAAGAGTAACACCACCAATGAAATCAAAGTTCCTTGATATAGTGTGATTATCATTATTAGTGCATTTTTCTTGGACTACATTTTAAAAAATTATTTTGAGGGCATTTAGGTAGTATAGTGGAGAGGGCACTGGGCCTGGAGTCACGAAGACCCAAGTTTGAATCTAGTCTCACACAACAGCTATACGACTGGGCATGTTATTTAACCTCTGTTTGTCTCGGTTTCCTCAACTGTAAAATGAGGATAATAACAGTACCTACCTCCTAGTGTTGTTGTGAGGATCAAATAAGATATAACTGTAAAACAGTTAACAAAATGCTGGCACATAATAAGCACAATATAAATATTATCTATTATTATATAATTTAAACAGACAATCATATAAGTTAAGCCACAAACTCCAATTTTTAAAAACTGTTTTATTATAATTTAATAAGTAATCCCTTAAGGTATGTCACAAAGTCCAAAAGGCATTAAAATTTAGCAATTTAGCGAATAGCTGTTTCCCTCATTAGTTTCCAAAAAATTTTCTCCATTTTGAGTTCAAGTTATTATAATTCTAGGTTTATTAAGTCAAGATTTTATCATTGAGAAGTAATTAGAAAACAAATGGGAAGGAAGCACAAAGGAAGAACAGTTATTTAAAATATGAAATTATTTTTCAAAGTTTTTTTTTGTTTTTTTGGTGAGGCAATTGGGATTAAATGACTTGCCCAGGGCCACACAGCTAGTAAGTGTCAAGCTTCTGAGGTTGGATTTGAATTCAGGTTCTCCTGACTTGAAGGCTGGAACTCTATCCACTGCACCACCTAGCTGCCCCAACAGTTTTAAACATATTTAATAAATCTTGATATTTTCAGTTAAAGTCACAGTAAACTACGAAAAGTAAAAGCCAACTGAAATTGTTATATTCTAGATAAAATGCATTCAGGAACACCAGGGAAACATTCTTTAAGATTTTAAATAAACAGAATGAAAATAAAATTTTAAAAGGCCAATTTTATGGCCAAGAAAAAAACAAATTAAAGCAAAGTTTGAACAAGAATTTCAGGAAAGACTTTATTCATAAAAAGAATGACAGCCTCTTTACAGTAGCTCTGATACTACACAATAAACCAGCTGGAGTAGGAAAGGGAAAGGATATTGGCATGCCATTGCAGGTACTCTTTCCACAAAGTGGGTACAGAAGTAAATTTTTTTTTTCCAGTAAAGTAAATGGCATCTTATGAGTCACATGAAGCAATTAATGCCCTTTAAAAAAAGGGAAAATTTACCCCCTTCATAGGCAAGATCAGAAACATTTTGTTTTCACTGTACTAACTTACAGTTTGATAGACTGCATTAATTTACCATGTGACCAAGAGCATGTATTTGAGACTCTTACTCCACGAATCCAAAGCCTTAGAAAGGAAGAGTCTTATTTTAACAAAGGAATATGCAGTTTGCACTGAAAATATTTAATGTTATTTTACTGCAAGCTTCAAGGAAACTGACTTTAGTAGCAACAAAGAAGGTAAAATCATTTCATGAATATGTACAACTATGTAATTTGATTATACCATGATGGGAATTAGAGATAAGTTATCACTAACTATTAGCATCACTATTTCAGTGCAAAATTCTCACTGTCTTTCTAGAAACCAACTGTCTTCTGTAAAGTCTAAGAAGATTCTTGATGCACTGAAGATATATTGCTCACCCATATCCTTAAATTTACTGATAAATGATGACTGGATTGGGACTGGGACAACAGTGTTCCAAATAACACTAGACTAGAATATAAAGCCTGCTACAGATGAAGACAGGTGGGCACTGACAATTTTATGTTTAACTACATTCTACTACTCATTCTCCAATGATCTGAATGTGCTTTTATTTTAGGTATTTACATATAAAATAATTTTATTTGTATTAGAATTCTTTAGGAAAACAAAGCAAAAATTAATACCTGAAGATTTTCCAGCACCATTTTATCCAGAGCCTGAATGAAGTCCTCATCCTCTGCACATGGGACATGCTTAAGTCCACCTCCTTTAATCATTACCTCCTTAGAGAAAACATAAAATTATAAATTTCAAATGTAAACTGCTAGATAACAGAGGATCATTTCAACTTGTCTTGTACAGTTTCTAGAATAACACAATGAATAAGTGGGTATTTTATAATACTTTTCAGTAAAGTTACAGGAAAAAGAACTGCATTATAAAGAAATGCCTAGCTGACTATCACAGTACAATTGTTCTTATTTTCTGAAACAATCTGAAAGAACACAATTATACATCATAATACACACAGAACTCCCATGTCTAGCACTGAAATATCATGAAAAGGATGGTGATTTACAAAGGCAAATTTCTCAGCAATACATACAGTGTTCTCTTCATCAGTTTCATTTTCCTTATTGGAATCTGTAAGGTAATCTGTATTCTCCTCCTCTTCTTCCTCTCCATCATCATCATCATTGTCAGAACCCTCCTAAAATTGTTTTTTAAAAATTATTTTTTAAGGTTAATACCATGGCATACCTGAATACAATTGTAAGGAGCCAACAGTGAACACTGATGTTATTCATGCTTTACAAATCTGATTTCCAACAGTTCTGAATAATCAATTATTGTCCTTGAGTTTCATTTAGCCTACTATGTAGACTGCTTACAATGGTAATGCAATGTTAGCTGGCAACATTTACTGAATACCAGTAGTTGAAAACTTACTTCATTATCTTCCATTGATCTAAAACAGTACAAAGATCCTTTGTACAGCCTCTTCCTTGTTTTCAACAAAAAACAAGTTCTGTGAACCTCCTACACTTTTTTTCTCCTATGAAACTAATCTGAAAACAGGCTGATTTCTACATAGGATTACAATGGCAAACATTTTCAACTTTACTGAAGAAATCAATTTAGTATTCTAATTTATTATTTCTCAGACTGAAACTATCAAGGTGACTATAGGAAGTCTCAATGTTTGAATGTTTTTTTTTAAACTTAGGAAAGCCAAATTAATGCACCCCTTAAAGCAATTACATCAAAAGTATGCTTTTTTTCTTAGAATTTTTGCCTATAAAGGTTTGAAAAGGAAGAAAGTAATTTGCAAATATGGATTAGTTTAGATATGCACAAGTACTAGCCAGAATAAGAACTTCATCGGGGTCATTCAAAATTGACAATGTCACACACATACTGAAAAAGGGCAGACTAAGCAATTTTACCTAACTCTAACAAATTTGTTATATGTGATTTTATGGTTACAGCACAATATTTTGCTATACACTTTAGAGAAATGATTTATAAAAAGTCCCAAAAATATTGCACATAATTTTAGATACAGTCAACATACTACATGGAAGGGGAGGAATATATTTGGACATGAATGTGATATAATGTATCAGTAAGAACAAATTTGAAAAAATTAATTTACCATGTGACCAACAGCATGTATTTCAGGCGGGGGGCAGGGGAGGATAAAATTTTGAAAGTTGCAGCAGGAGGGCCAAAAGCAGGGGTTCACAACCTTTTGTGTGTGCGTCATGGCCCCCTTTAGCAGTCTGAGCCTATGGATTCCTCAGAATGTTTTCAAATGCATTAAAAAGAACTACCAAAGAAATCAATTATGTTGAAATAAAGATGTAATATTTGTCCCAAAAAATTTACAGACCAACCTCCACCCCCCAGTGCTGCCCTAAAATCTATTCACACTCCTCTTAGGAAATAACTCCTGGTCTAAAAATGAAATCTTATTCAGTGGCCATTTTTATGTGGATATTATGAAGCAGAAATGAGTTCTAAACAATTAATTTTAAAAGTCATACTCAGGGCCTGAAGGTAGAATATGATGAAGAAAGTTCTTTTTGGGTAGAGGATTTAGATTTGAGCATACTTCTGAGCAGGTGAAAATTGTTCTAGATTACCATTCATAGCTCTTCCAATCTTACTATTTCCTTCTCCTCTCTTTATATTATCTTCTGTGGTTCATAAGGAAGGTGGTCAAACCTGGTCAGTAGATGAGGGGGATCAAGCATTCCTTCCCTGTTTTCCTTCCTAGGGTCAAAGCTCCAGCAAATTTATACATATATTTTATTTATCCAGAAAAAAATACCTACGTGTTATTAAAAGTTTTTGTAGTAAATATTCAAGTTGCACCCTTAAAATAAAGCAATAGCTAAATACTAAGTCACTCCCAAAATTATGAATTTATATATAGGATGCATTTTAGAGGGGAGAAGAAACAGTGAATGAATGCAAAACATCTTCACATAAAAACAAAGCAGCAAAATGCCCACCTATTACGCTACCAATTACAGAAGTGTTTTGCACAGCTACAAAATTTTACTGGTTAATTTGCTTTTATTTCAAAGCAGTACTTAGACTAAAGAAAGTCAGAAATGAGATAAAGTTCTAAAATGTCATCTATACATGCTATAAATAAGTAAAGGTCCATGAAAACCCTATGATATTGTGCCACTGTATACACTGTTTTTTCTATAATCACTCCTTTTAATTATAAAACACAATGTTAAAGGCATGCTTCAAATCATGCAAAAGTTTTATATTATCTTACACAAGTATAAACATAGTAGTAGGGACTTTATCAATTAACTGAAGAAAAATGTAATGGCCTTGAGTGGCTAAGTCTGTTTTCCTATGATGGACTTACAGTCATTTATTTACTATTTTCTAGCAAAAGGAAAAAATAATATCAAGCAGAAGAAGAGGTCTACAAATATTAGAGTATAAATGAATTTCAGATTTCAAATTTCAAAAATACCTAAAATAATTGCAAGATTATTAGGATCAGATTTAGAGTTGGCATAAATGATACAATATATAAAGTGTATTGTAAAGGGATGGATTTGGAAGAAAAGTGCATGAAAGATATGAATGCTATTTCTTCCTTTAAAACTGACTGGATCTCATCAACAATATTTTCTATCACTTTATAAGCTCTTATAAACAGAATATGGACTAATTTTCAAAGGAAAGAAAGTAGGGGGGATACAATAAACTGCTGTCACCTTGAAAATAGGCTTGGTTATACAGGCTACACTTCAACAAATGTACCTTTTACAAACTTGGCTATAAATAAAAGTGTTATCACCTCTTCCTCAGGTTCATTTACTTCACTTTCATTTCCAGATTGTTCTTCTGTCTCAGCTCCTCCTTCTTCTTCCTCTTCATCTTCTTCAAGGTTCTCTCCTTCGGTCATGGAATCTTTCGAATCTTTGTCATTCAAAAGGCCTTAAAATTAAAGCAGCAAAACATAAATACAATGAGACAATTTTCAAGAAGTACTTTCAACTAAGAACATATATATGACATGTTAAAAGAAATAGTTTAATAAATGTTTTGTTGAAATTGTTACAGAAAATCAGTGGTGAGTCAAGTATAGAATTCAGGCTTCCTCCAAATGATAAACAGAAAGTTTCATACTTAGCAAAGGCATAAGAATACTTCAAAAACTGAGATTCCCTGAGATACACATGAAATTCTTATGTCCCTTCCATACTGCCATGGAAAAGGAAATATCCTCTAAGGCTTTACTAAATAGCTTTAAACACTGTGATTATAATTTCTAATTTTAGTACTGCGTGAACAAAGCTATGAGGCAGAGCGGATTCATAGATTTGGAGTTCACCTAGGAAAGAGGAAGACATGAATTCAATCCCCACTTCTATCACACACTGCCTGTGTCATTCTGGGCAAATCATTTAACCTCTCAATGCTGTTTAACACTGGAGGTTGCAGAAAAAGTGTTGATATGCACTGGAAGAGGGAATTCCTCACCACAAGCTCCCATATTAATGAAATCGGAGCTCTCAACAAAGGTTTGAGGAGGAAGGGAGGAGAAAGCTAACACAGGCAAGAAAGCCAGAGAAGCTAAGCTGTAGGTGCAAATCATTTAAGATAATTTTCTAACAAGTGACAATTTTTTAAGATTCCCAGAAGCCCCAGACACAAAATGAATCATTAACAGATCCTACAGTTGGTTAGTAAATTAAACCTTAAAGCACTACATATATGTGAATAGTCGGTGGTGATAAAGTTGAGATTCCAGAAAAGAAAAAAGGCCACAAGTTTTGGTCATGATTTAGACACACACACATGCGCACACGCACACGCACATGCTCTCATGTGCGCGCTCTCTCTCTCCCCTTCCCTTTAATTAAAAAAAAAATCCACTAGAATCAACATGATTCCAGTCTTTCCCACACTCTAATCCACCTTGTAGATCTACCACTGCCCAACTAATTTAAATTCTTGTTCAAACAATTTGAATCATTCCTTGATTTTTACCTCATTAAATCTTAAATCTTCTAACTAGCTTCCAAAGCTAGTTACTCTCTCACCCTACCTTTCCAACTTTCCATATCTGTCAAAAATACTCTTTGCTTATGTCAATCTCTTCCCTGTCCCATCATCACTGTTCCCAAGGTCACTGGGCTTCTGTACCTTCACTTATATTGTTCTCTTTTGCTTTCAACGTACTCCTGCCTCATCACTTCCTTGCGACCCCATATCAATTCCATTTTGTCCATAAAGACACGCTTGAATGCTCAATCACTGCTTTTCCTCTCACTGAACTCATGGGTCATGAAGCATATGCCATACAATTTACCACTGGGTACTTTCTTATGTATTTCTCTAATTCATGAGCATTAAACTCATCTCCTCTAACTAAACTTTAGGGCATTAAACTTACATTCCCTAACAGCAACTTTGGGGCAAAGACCTTGTCTTGCACAGTACTGTATCCCTACAGTGTATCTTGCATAGTACCTGCATATCTTGCATGTACTGAACCCAAATACTGGATAACATTTATTAACACAAACTGAGACGGAAGCAATCTTAGGGATTATCTAATTCAGTCTTGTAACTGAAGGAAATTAAAGTCTAGAGAGGCTAATTTGCTCAAATGTCCAACAAAAATCAGAGAGAAGAATTCAACATCTAACTTCTGGACCGCAGTTCTTTCCTGCATACCATGCAGCTCCTTATTTAAGCTGAACACTGTAGAAATTACTGCAATGAAGACTGTATAAGGCAAAATTATTTCCATCATTATCTAGAGTCTACTGAAAAAAAATTTTTTATGACCTCAAATCCATTACAGCTTTTTCTATAAACATTATTTTCAAAGGAAAATTTAAGAGATGGTTTATTAAATTACAAGCTCTTTATTCTCCTCCCTCTCTGATACCACATAGTTATTAGAAAAATTACTTTGTGAATACTAATGCTGTTGGAAGTAGAATCAATGACAGTCCCATGGCACTAGAACATTATAAAAGATAATTTAAAAGGTACACATGGTAAGTGACAAAAAGTAAAAAAAAAAAATAATCATTGCTATTGGAATTCAAATATAGGAGAAATCCTCTTGGGCTGAAATGGTTAGGGCAAAGACTTCTTAGAGGAAGGAGGACATGGGCTGGCCTTTAATTAGTCTAAATGAAGCAAAATTTGGGTGGTGGTCAGGTTGGAAATATGGGTTGGGGCCCATTACTATGCTCAGCATAGACTGTGGACTTTGCTCTGTAAACAATGAGGAGATACTGAAGGTTCTTCACTCTAAAAGTAAAATGATCCAAGCAATGCAAAGAAAAATTAATCCTAGATATGGTATTGAAAAATGGAGCAGAGAACAGAAACTGAAGATAGACTATTAGAACAAAAGATATTACTGGTCAGCAATCAAACCAGAGTAGAAAGAAAGGGACAGAAGCAAGAGATCTTATGAAGAAAATAATCAAGGACTGGTCACTAAGAAATGAAGGGCAAAGAAGAAAAAACTGAAAATCAATGGTGAACCAAATCTGAGGTTTTCCTTTGTGATGATGACAAACCTGCTCTGAAATATCAAATGTTTTTATATTCACCTAAAATACAAATCATGTTTTTTATTAAAAAACTTGCATAGGGGCAGCTAGGTGGCACAGGGGATACAGCTCTCTCGCCTTTGAGTCAGGAGGACCTGAGTTCAAAACCCACTTCAGACACTTGACACTTACTAGCTGTGTGACCACCAAAAGGAAAAAGAGAAAAAAAAACTTACATAAGAAAGCTTCACTTGGATGGTTATATTTCAAGTCTATACAAGGAATTAAACAGATTTTACTTTTCACAATCTGTATTTTCCTCCAAAACATGGATCAGGTGCCACACCTCTCCCTTAAAGCTGAATATCATCACTTTTCAACACCCTAACCCCAGCTGTTAATGCTCTCTCTACCATGACAAACCATCTTGTATTTACTTACCTGTGAACATGTTGCATGTTGCTAATAAAATGTAAGTTTCCTGAGGATAAGATCTATTTTATTTTTGTCTTCCTATTCAAAAGGCCTAGCCAGAGCCCTATACAGAGTTAGTGCCTCTATCTGAGTTTAACTAAATTGAAAAAGCATGATTAAGAGTCCATTTGCATGTGACACTATGCTAAGTACTGTAAAAAAATTTTTTACAGAGGATTCCATTTAAAATTGACAATTTAAAACAGAAAATATTTAAAGATGAACAAGCAAAGAAAAGAGTGATAAGACTATAATCATACCTTATGATTTTTTAAAGTCTTCATATGCATTACTGTGAATGTTAAAATACCCTAATGAGATAACTGAGGAATTGCTATACCCATTTTAAAGACCTTGTCATAGGTCACACAGCAAGTAGCTGGCAGAGACAGAATGGAAAAAAAGTTTTTGATGCTCCTGATACACTAAACACCTAGGGAGATAACAATGAAAGACAGAAAAGAAAAAGAAGGATGCCATTTATTAAGAATTGGGCATATCTGGGAATGTAGAAACAAGGACACATTAACAAGTGGTTAGGAGGCTGCTAGTTCTTTTAACCTTTAGCAAGTTTTGTAATTTCTCCATGCATCAACTTTCTATTTTCAAAGACAGTTGTCTTGTCTATAGCAACACTAAAGGACTATTTTACAGTTAATATTACATTAAAGATTAATTAGGAAGTACTTTGAAGCACTCAAACTCTGATGATACACCTTTTTCCTTCCAGTAAGAGTGTAGAATGTTGCATTGCCCGATTCTGCATATTGTTGTTTTGGTTTTTTCTTTTTTTTAAGGCAATTGGGGTTAAGTGACTTGCCCAGGGTCACACAGCTAGTAAGTGTCAAGCGTTTGGCCTGAGGCCATATTTGAACTCAGGTCCTCCTGACTTCAGGGCCGGTGTTCTATCCACTGCGCCACCTAGCTGTCCCTGTTATTTTGGGTTTTTTTTTAAATAAAAGGAAGAAGGGCAGGTATTTAGGGGGAAATAGCTATGGTCATTTTAGGTAACAAAACTTTTAAAAGTTGCTTTTAAAGTAAAGGAAGGAAAGAAATGCAGGCAAAAGGCTTATCCTAAGTCTACTTTCCACTGGGAAAAAAACTGTTAAGATATCTTTACTCACAAAAATTGATATATTATTAAAACATAAGGTATATAGGGAAGAAATATATTCCATTAGGTTTTGGTTTGCATTCAGTACCAATAAACGGTTCCATTTCATAAAACTGTTTTGCCCTTCCCAAATCCTAGGCGATGGCAAGCAGAGATGCTACCTGTTGGCCTTTAAGTTAATCGTTTACCTGACTTGCAGAAAACAAAATCTAGTCCTCCATAGGCCTCTGTGAAACAGATATCTATGTATTTACTAAGATCTGTCATGTGCAGGGGGCCTTTCTTTATAAAGTTCCCATTCTCATAAATAGGTAACAGAAATAGGTAATAGAAGAGAAAAGGGTATCTTTTCACAACTATGGAGACAGGGAAGAATTCCTGACCAAACAAGAGATAGAGATAATCATAAAAAGTATAAGAAAATTTTAATCAGATAAAATAAAAAAGCACAAATAAGGCAAGAGTTCGAAGGAAAACAGGTAACTGGGAGAAAAAATTGCAAGGAATTTCTCTGATGAAGGTACAATGCTTAAAATTTATAGAGAATTTACCAACAGACAAATGCAAAAAAAAAAAAGACATAAGGAGGTAGTCTTTTTTTTGTCTCATTTTGTTTTTTGCTTTTTGGGGAGACAATCAGGGGGTTAGGTGACTTGCCCAGGGTCACACAGCTAGTAAGGGTCAAGTGTCTGAGGCCAGATTCTTGACCTCAGGTCCTCCTGACTCCAAGGCAGGACAGGACTTCTGTCCACTGCGCCACCTAGCTGCCCCCAGCAGGCAGTTTTTAAAAGAATGCAAACTAAAAACCACCAAAAAAAATCACACAAATC